TAAATGAACTGCAACAAGCTCAGTAGAAAAAAAAAAAATCAAGATGGCAGATGATGCAAGAAAAATGTAGATAATAAATAAATTTACAATTCAGTTCAATTCTTTTATCCAGCACAATTAAATTCAACACAATTATCCTGCTAACAATGTTTGGTCTCCAGAATGTTCTTGGAACATGGAAAGTTCTATGTTTGCTTAATAAAAACTGACCATTTTGACCATTATTTGTGCTTCGTATGTTGTCTAGGCTTATATGTATTGTGATATTAGCTTAGCAGCTAAATTCTATTTAAATCAATTGCAAATCCAATATTTAATGTTAAGTGCTCCCTGTTGAAAAAAAAACAGCATATGCTGGTTAGGTATGTATTAAAGCTGGTCATGTGCTGGTCCTAAACTGGTTCTAAGCAACTAGCTTCTGCTCAGGACCAGCTTAAACCAGCTCAATCCAGCTGCCATGCTTCAAAACACAGCATAGGCCTATGCTGTTTTTTTTTCAACAGGGCTTGTTCCTAATAAAAATAATCAAATGAGAACCATACACTAACATAACTGGAATGTGCTGGAAAATGTACTATTTTGACCATTATTTGTGTGTACTATGCTTATGAGAGAATGATTGTGCTATTAGCTTAACAACACGTTTACACAGTGTTGGGAAGGTTACTTTGGAAATGTAATAGGTTACAGATTACAAGTTACCCTATTTAAAATGTAATAGTAGTGTAACTTTTTCAATTACTCTATTAAAGTAATGTAACTGATTACTTTTGATTACTTTTTGATTACTTTTCAAAATTTCTAATGAATGTTTATTTGCAACTGTTAATCATTTTCAAACATTTACACCATGCAGGGTTAACCTTACAGTAGTGCTCAACACTGTCAGACCGTCAAAATCCTTCATCACTTGAATTAAGATGATAAAATTTGAACACATCCACCACGAAATCAGACTTTAGTACCACCTTTTACTTTGAGATTGATCTGAAGTTCAATGCAGATTTAAAATCATAAGAAATAGTTTACTGATACTGTTTTTGAAACCAAATCTTTGCATAACTACAGGAAACACTGCATCTAACAATAAAAATATAAAAATAAAAATAATTTTACACATAATAATAAATAAAAGCATATACATCAACTCAAATACGGTTATCTAATAAGCATGTGTCCTATTCTGTGTACTAAACTCCTGAAACATTGGTGTCTCTTTGTATATGATATGATGATAGTTTTCTCAAAATAAGTAAAATGCTCATGAAGTGACTCAGAGCAGTTCTAGAGATTATGTTTATGTGTTCATGTACTCATATATTGAGACGGCAGAGGCTGAAAACACCGCAAGCTTCAGTAGGCCTGTGTGTAGTAAATGAAACCGCATGTCTGCGCCATTAATTTCCACGAGGGGCGGACTGGGAAAAAAATTTCAGGCCGGGAAATCTCACACTCATACACCCACAACAAATTCTGAAACATGGACAACCCTATTTTTTGTATGGATCTCATATAAAAAAGGTTTAAATCCTTAGGTTGGGGACATGCACAATAATTAAAAGTTATCTCCTGAACTGCACCTTCACTTCCATTTTTCTTTTCAGTCTCCCTTTGTAATCGTTAACATTTTCATAAGTAACTAATTTAATTACACATTTTTTCTTAGTAACTGTAACTGATTACAGTTACATTTATTTTGTAATTAAATTACGTAACACCGTTACATGTAACTAGTTACTCCCCAACACTGCGTTTACATCAAATGCTATTGAAATCGATTGTGAATATCTGCTATTTGTGTGGCCTGGAAAGTTGTAGAGCACTTGGTGATTCCGTCACAGTTAGAATGTTGCCTGTGTAGGCATTAGAGTGCAAAGAAGCTCACTAGATTTAGGATCAGAGTTTATGCGCGTGTATGCTGCAAAATAACCCACTTTTTCCACATATTAAGTGTGCGTGCTAGTATTGCTAGTATATGCGTGTATGTGATGCATTGATGGTACACAGATGGTGTGAAATCTGTTCATGTGGTTTAAAAAAGCAGAGATAGTCCTGGTATGTGTCAGAATATCAATAAAACTTTACAGCAGTGTGTGTGTGTGTGTACTTGTTTATGCTACATATCCATTTACAAGGATAGTAAAACCTGACATTTTTGACATTGTGGGAACCGGCCTGAAAAAATATAAAAAATAGTAAATGATGTTTATCTGAAAGTGTAACTATGCAAACAGGTTTCCTGTAAGGGGTAAGGTTTAGGGTTAGGGGATAAAACATATCGTTTGGCCAGTATAAAAGTAATTAGAGTCTATGGAAAGTCCTCACAATTCACAGAAACAAACGTGTGTGTGTGTTGATAGTTATGCAAATGCTGAGGGAGCCTAGTATGTAACATTTAAGTTTAGATTAATGTAAGACCAGCTCCAGCATATGTACGGGCCAATAAACATTTGAAGAATTTGAAGGGCGCATACCATACACGCAAACGAAAAGATTCAATGTTAACCTCTCGCCTCCAGCCAACCCTCCAATTCACTGGTGAACTCTCCGCACACACAAACAGCTGAACGAAAACAAACACGGGCACACACAGTTACGCTATCTATGAGGCCCAGACGGACCCTCTCCCCTCAGGCGGCCATTAGCAGAGCAAAGGTGAGTTTCAGAGAAAGAGGAGTACACACCGTATGATACGACCTGTCAATCATGCGCAGAGCCTCAGAGAAGTATGGGAAAATATTTCTGCATTTAAATTTGACTATAATGTCATATTGTGCTGGAACTGCTTTAATAACGCCACGGTTTTGGGGAGAAGCGTCTGTCGGTGGAAAGGGGTACAGATTCTGAATAAATATTTGAATTGAAGGGATCCGTTTAATCAAAGAAAATGAATGATTATGAAACTGATAACGCAACAATATTTCGAATCAAAGCATGTGTCCAAATGCACTTGCGCTTCTGTCTTACCAGCTTCATCTCTCACAGCCTGTCAGTGGCCTGCTGGCATGGATATTACTGGACTGAAAAACAACTATCACACTCTGCCAGAGTCTGTTTCAAGAACAAACAGACGCTCAAATGCAGCAGCCGTCGGTTCTTACGACTGTACTGTGAAGGGTCATGTGGGGTTTTGGTAGTGAGGAGTTTTTACGGCGCCTGTCAAAATGCCCATTTGATTTAGTGGGCGGACTTGACGGGGGCAACACATCAAACACTGATATAGAGAGATGAACCAAGAAGGAAGACAGAACGAGTGAAACCGGGAGGGGAAGGGAATGACTGTGCCATTAAAATGCCAGTGATGTCATCAAGCACTTATTATGAGCCAGCAGCGAACCGTATCGAGTCAATGGACAAACAGAGTAACAACAGAGCTGGAATGTGGGAAGATATTATGAGATCAAGTGAGCGAGAAGGAATAAGTAAAGAGGGAAATCTAACAAAGAAATGCCAAAAACAGCATAAAATAACAAGTAGTGGTAAAAACACCCTCTGGGAGTTTTGAGAACCACTGTTATAAAGGTGAATGATAGCCACGATTAACCAGCTCAGAGGCGAGTTTTTTAGTTTTATCAGCGAGTTTTACTGCATGGAATGTAATTTTTATTTGATAGAGTGTCTGGGTTGGAAAGAGAGAGAAAAGAAAGAAAAAGAAAAAGAGTAAGGGAACAGGTGCACCAAACAGTTTTCCCCCAATGTCTTATCTCAACATCTTTTTAAACATATTAACATGAAATCATCATTGTTTATAGAAATACTGTTGAGTTAGTTAGAAACAGTCTTTATCACAACTCAGTATCAAGGCATCTCAAATGATGATATTAGGTTAGCTGATAAATGTAAACAAATAAAAGTGTAACAGCCAGTACTGAATAACTACGTAAAATGTAAAATGCTAAAACAGGGTTTGGTGTCATTATGTGGTCACTATTGGAATTTTTTGGTAGGTATTGAAATGCTTTGGGTGGCAACATTAACCAGGCCAGATGGCTCGCCTTTGCTAAACAGAGAAGCTGGACAAAGAAAAAACAAAATCCGGCCTAACCCATGGCCTGGCTAGCCGAGGAAGTGCTTTACATCTTTTAAAATGTAGGCAGCAGAGTATATCACATGATGCTGGTGTGAAGAAGAAATTATACATTTACAAAGAAACACCAAAATAAAGTATGAAAAAGCCTGACAATGGTTCCTCCAGGCCTGCAGGGGGCAGCAGTTCAGAAATGCATCTCTCTTGAATACCGCAGTATAAAAACTCATTCAAATAATGACACAACAGTCTCTGGCTGCATCCGAAATTGCATATTTTCCTACTATATAGTAGGCGAAAAAGAGCATGGGACAAAGGAAGTATGTCCAAACTCACAGTACTCATAAAACAGAAGGGAAAAGTACCCAGATGACCTACTACGTCCGGTGAGATTCTGAAGCGTGCATACATCCAGATGACATTCATACTATATAGAACACACTTTTTCAGTGGTCGCGAAGTAATTACTTATTCAAAATAAGTACCTACTCAAGAGAGTATGCGATTTCGGACGCAGCCATTGTAAATGGTTGTACATAAGAAAAAAAATCTGGAAAATATATGCAGTGAAAATAAATATCCTGTCCATTCAGAATTAACAAGTATCAATTATTTCGCAGACATAACTCAAAAACAAAGCGTAATAAAGCTCTGCTCTTAGATATTCAATTTACTTGCTAATAAAAATCAATGTGTTTCAAAGATTTTATGCCTTAAGTGATTTAAACAAATACAGGATGACCAGTGTAATCTGATTCCCGAACAAATGACTCACTTACTTAAAAGTTATAATTTTTTAGTTATTTTCATCTTAAGGCTTGTGAGACACCTCAGTGTGGTTCCTGACTCAATATTCATATGACAATGTGCAGATAAAGATACACGTTTTTTTTTTTGTAATTGGTGGTATTTTATAAAAAACTAATTAAAGATGTTAAAAATATGAAAATCTTACCACTTTTTTGACATGTTTAGTTTTTTATTTAATACACAGTTAGGACTAATTGGATTGAATTTATGTCACCACTAAAAACTCTGGCAACAGACTGATAAAGACAGTAAATGCCATAAAAATCACACCTCTTCCCCCCCCAATGTCTTTATTCAGAGGTCCTGAAAGAATAGTCACTGGAGCAGTTAAGGGGAATCAGAACCACAATTGATAATTCCTTGCAGTTCCCAACGCTAGTTACCATTGAGGGTTACCACGGACACAAGCAGGGTAGGTTGGATAAAACTGAATTTGTTTTCCTTAATTTAGATTACTCTCATTTGCTCAATCTACAAACGAATTAACACTGTCGAAAGTAATGAAATGGGAAGAACAAAAACATAAAAAATACATTAACAGAAATAAGTAAAATGATAAATGTGCCATTTCTGGTTGTTAGTCATTTGTGGTAATGACGGCAAGAAATCCTTAAATCAACGTGGGCAGAGAGAAGTCTGAACCAGAAAGCTCAGGTCACTCCGGCCGGTAACATCCTGTCTCTTCTTACATCTCACGATGATGTCATGTCTCATCCAGAGAAATAACTCAGGTGAACTGTGGACCTGAAGCCTCATGCTGGCACAGGGTGATAATGTCAGAGATGGTTTGGAGACATCGCCCGAAATGTGATGAGAGTCGAGACGAGATTGTAACCAAGCAACGGATATGTGTAACACTCAAGAGGATGTGGAGAGTTTGTGATTGAGTTAATTTAGATGCACAGGCTGTCTTAGTCCTACTGTCTTCGGCCTGAACCACAATGCTCTGAGCAACATACCAACGCACAGCTGGAGTCCCTCTGTGGGGGTTAACACATGAAAACACAAACTGCTGTAATGTGGATGTGCGTGTTAAGTGTGTATAAGTTTGGCATTGTGTGTCTAGGGTAAGTGAGCAGTTTATCATGGCATACACAGTACTTCAAAAGGCCGGGCAGAGACTCCCGCGCACCGCTGAAGGGTTTTTCTTTGACCGCTTAACTTTGACCTCCAATCTCAGAAGAGTCTCCATCTGAAACAGTTGATCGTCCGTCTACACCTCCTCCACATGTGATTCCTGCTGCTCACATAAAAATGTTTAAAAAACCTCAAAAACAAACAACCGGGTGCTGAGGAGCTGCAATAGGAAGCTGATGAAATCGAAGGAATGAAAAACTGTTTCTTTGATGCTTAATAAATAAATCAGATGGAGGTCCGAGTTCAGAACAGACAAACATTTACAATCAGATGAACTTAGAAAAACAAAAAGAGGGGCGAATTCACTAAACAGTTGCGCTACTTTTACGCCCGGTACACTCGGCGTCTCATTCACTAGCCACACGCAATCCAGTTTAACAAGTGCTTTTTGCAATGGAATAGTGTTTAAAAAATTTCAGTGAATTATTCAATAATTTTTGCCTTTTCCGCGCAAACACGCCTCCTTTCTATGCAAATTAGTCTTATTTTAGAATGCACAAACATTCTATTATAGTTCCAACTAAGCTAAAAAAAGCTTGATTCTGCCAACTACACTAAAAATTTTAGATTGTTCCAAAGCGCAAGGATTATTGAATTCAGTGTCTTCATCAGATTCCGTCAAAAGACATCCGGTATTCAAAACCGCCTAAAAAGACGCAGTTGAGCTAATATTTAAAAAAGATGATTGTATAAAATGTCTAGTGACAATGGCAGCGATAATTCATCAAATGATGATCAAATAATGAAAAAAGCTTTTGAAATGGAAACATATCTAGTCAAAACCGTTTTTGGCATTTTAAAGTGTCAGTCCGTTTTCTGGATCTTAGCGATACTGTACAGTACCAGTAAAGTACGCCAGATTGCACCAGTCCGCAGGTGGCGAATTGTGGCGTGGAGATGGTGTTTAGATTTTTTGGGCGCGTTTTTATTGTTAGTGAATGGACCACTAAAACAATGCATGTGTAAATAAACGACGCAATCAGCCAGTGCACTTTCTTAGTGAATTTCCCCCCGAGGGTAAAAATGTAAGAAGTACTTATATTATTTATACAGGTATTCTTTTTTATGAATCACTCTTTACTGTTTGGTTTTGAGGATAAGCACAATAACTCAATTTCAACCATCAGAATGGACGTATAAACTCATCTCCAACAAGCGTGTGACGTACATTCACTTGCACCTGAGTACATGTGAAATCTGTGATCCGCCCGACACACACACACACACACACACACACACACACACACACTTGTAAATAAATGCAAACGCTGCTATGACATAAAAGCTTGATTTACCACTTTCCTAGAACTCAACTTCACATCCAAGTTCTAGTATCACGTATAGGCTCTTAAATATAGAGTCACTTGGACACAGCACATGTGTGTGAGGTACCATCAATTCTGGATGGGTTGTCTGCATGTTCTCTGATCTCATACTTTGTAGTAAATATTGGCTGGACTCTGAGGAGGCATCTCTTGAACGATGTAGACGGGGTGTCCGTAATCGCCGCTGACTTTTTCGTAATGGGGGCAGTACGCCGAGTCAGAGGTCTGCAGGGGAATGATGATATCACTGGGCTCTGAGCCAATATTGTTGCCCCCGCCGGCCCCCATAGCTGCCCCGCAGGAGTTGCCTCTCTTTGGGGTAAGAGAGGAGAGCGTAAGGGCAGGATGGTGAGTTTCGGAGTGCTTGGCCTTCCGTCGCCGGTAACACACGACAGCGATCACTACGGCGATCAGGAGGATGAAGGCTCCCCCGGCACCGCCGGCGATTAGGGCGATGTTAGAGACAGACACGGCCCCGCTGTCTCCCCTCTCACCGGCCTCACCTTCATCACCTGCTTTAGAGCCACTTTCTGTATCTGAAACAGAAAAGAGCTGATAAATCAACAACCCGACTTCTGAAGCTCACTTGCTTTTTGGCTTTATCTTCTACGACAAACATCCTGATAGTATTTAGATTAGATTAGATTTAATCCATAAATAGCTTTGATTTCAGCCGGCTTGAGTTCAAATATGCATCGTGTTTGGCTTTAACACTGCCGGTTCCTCAAATGTTTACCTTATGGAGCTCAACCAGTGCAGTCTGAGCCTCCAAGAAAAAAAAAATCAATTACAAAACGCACTAGACAGTGCGTTAACATGACAACAGATGCATATGCATATGGCATCAAGGCTAATACGTAAATGCAGTTGAAAGAAGTGTATTTTATTTTCATAATAAAAATTGTTTACTTGGCATCTTTCTGAGCCTGGGTTAACATTCTATTTTAGTGCTATTTTAGTTATTTATATACTATTGCAATATTTATTATTATTTTGAATAAGCTTTTATTATTTTCATTTTGACATGCTTTTTATTTTATTTAGCTTTAATACAAAATTATTTCAGTAGAGATTTAGAGAAGTGTATTATTAAATTTGTTTTATTTTAGTAATAGTTTAGTTATTTAGTAATTTTTTTGTTAAATTTTTTCATCTAATATTTATGTTTTATTTCAACTTAATTTCAATTAACCAAAATGGCTTTTTAATAGTTAGTTTTAGTTAATTTACAAACATGCAATTCACATATCTTAGCTGTAGTCACAAGTCTAGTGCGTGCTACTCATGACATACAGAACTGTTATGCTCACAGGGACCCAGGTTTGAGTCTGACTTGGGTCATGTACCCAACCCATTTCCCTTCTCTCTCCCTCCACTTTCCTGTCAACTGTCCACTGTCCTATACAGTAAAGGAAAAAAGCCAATAAAAATAAACAATAAAACAATAAATATTTAATGAAGCAACCATTATTTCGTTCACGATTGGCTGTCTGTTGCTAAACATTTTTGCTGTTTCACTCTGGGTTAGTACCTCTTCCAGGGCAAGGATTCATAATCCAGGTGCAGTGCTAACATCTTTTCAAAATTACAAAAGTGAAACGTTGCTTAACGCAGGATTAAAAGTGGCCTTAATCCAGGGTTAAAAAAAAACAGATGTTAAGCCAGGGTTAAGCTCATAAGCGAATGTGAAAGTGTCCCGCATTATTTCAGACTTGTACCTGGGATTCTGTTGCTGGGACGGCCTGGATCAGGTTTGGGTTTTGGGGGAAGGCCATATGCGGCTATGAAAGCAAAAAAGTGATTATATGATGACAAACGCTCAGAACATTTTGATGCAAAGTTCAAGTGCTTCTATTATGAGCAGGAGCAAGTGTTTGCTTGTATTGACACAATGTTTATTGATTTTTGACTCAGGAGCCAATATTGTTGCCCCCGCCGGCCCCCATAGCTGCCCCGCAGGAGTTGCCTCTCTTTGGGGTAAGAGAGGAGAGCGTAAGGGCAGGATGGTGAGTTTCGGAGTGCTTGGCCTTCCGTCGCCGGTAACACACGACAGCGATCACTACGGCGATCAGGAGGATGAAGGCTCCCCCGGCACCGCCGGCGATTAGGGCGATGTTAGAGACAGACACGGCCCCGCTGTCTCCCCTCTCACCGGCCTCACCTTCATCACCTGCTTTAGAGCCACTTTCTGTATCTGAAACAGAAAAGAGCTGATAAATCAACAACCCGACTTCTGAAGCTCACTTGCTTTTTGGCTTTATCTTCTACGACAAACATCCTGATAGTATTTAGATTAGATTAGATTTAATCCATAAATAGCTTTGATTTCAGCCGGCTTGAGTTCAAATATGCATCGTGTTTGGCTTTAACACTGCCGGTTCCTCAAATGTTTACCTTATGGAGCTCAACCAGTGCAGTCTGAGCCTCCAAGAAAAAAAAAATCAATTACAAAACGCACTAGACAGTGCGTTAACATGACAACAGATGCATATGCATATGGCATCAAGGCTAATACGTAAATGCAGTTGAAAGAAGTGTATTTTATTTTCATAATAAAAATTGTTTACTTGGCATCTTTCTGAGCCTGGGTTAACATTCTATTTTAGTGCTATTTTAGTTATTTATATACTATTGCAATATTTATTATTATTTTGAATAAGCTTTTATTATTTTCATTTTGACATGCTTTTTATTTTATTTAGCTTTAATACAAAATTATTTCAGTAGAGATTTAGAGAAGTGTATTATTAAATTTGTTTTATTTTAGTAATAGTTTAGTTATTTAGTAATTTTTTTGTTAAATTTTTTCATCTAATATTTATGTTTTATTTCAACTTAATTTCAATTAACCAAAATGGCTTTTTAATAGTTAGTTTTAGTTAATTTACAAACATGCAATTCACATATCTTAGCTGTAGTCACAAGTCTAGTGCGTGCTACTCATGACATACAGAACTGTTATGCTCACAGGGACCCAGGTTTGAGTCTGACTTGGGTCATGTACCCAACCCATTTCCCTTCTCTCTCCCTCCACTTTCCTGTCAACTGTCCACTGTCCTATACAGTAAAGGAAAAAAGCCAATAAAAATAAACAATAAAACAATAAATATTTAATGAAGCAACCATTATTTCGTTCACGATTGGCTGTCTGTTGCTAAACATTTTTGCTGTTTCACTCTGGGTTAGTACCTCTTCCAGGGCAAGGATTCATAATCCAGGTGCAGTGCTAACATCTTTTCAAAATTACAAAAGTGAAACGTTGCTTAACGCAGGATTAAAAGTGGCCTTAATCCAGGGTTAAAAAAAAACAGATGTTAAGCCAGGGTTAAGCTCATAAGCGAATGTGAAAGTGTCCCGCATTATTTCAGACTTGTACCTGGGATTCTGTTGCTGGGACGGCCTGGATCAGGTTTGGGTTTTGGGGGAAGGCCATATGCGGCTATGAAAGCAAAAAAGTGATTATATGATGACAAACGCTCAGAACATTTTGATGCAAAGTTCAAGTGCTTCTATTATGAGCAGGAGCAAGTGTTTGCTTGTATTGACACAATGTTTATTGATTTTTGACTCAGTCAAGAACTCAGTTTGTTTCAGTGCTTAGGTTCATTCATTGATGTGTTTTTGGAGGTGATGATGATACTCACTCTGTCCCACTTTGAGAACCAGCTTCATCCCTCGTGTCACACAAACGCCTCCTCTCATGCTGTCGATCCCTTCTTTTGTACCGTCAGAGGTAGCTTTGGAAAAAAGATGAAAAAACATAATATCAATGTCAAGGTTTTTTCAGCATTTCCATTGGTGTGAAACGACGGCTCACTGGAACTCTGTGACTTAGCAACAAAACACTGGTTTATGACTCTCCATTACTTCACAGCAATGTGCAGCCACTCACTCATATAAAGGAAAAGCAAGCATAACTGGCAATTTTTATGAATACAGAACACACTGGTGTCCCATTACTTTTTAAATTATTTATCAGAGGCACAAATCCATATTCTTGTTGTGACAACTATGAGACATTCTTGACAGACTAATATAACCTAACCTAGCATGAAATGTAATTATTTTATTTATTAATATTAAAATGATACAAGTTTTGATATAATCTGTTCAAGTGACATTTGTTTCATTGTAGTAAGTCAAGTTAGGTTTATTTGTACAGTGTTTTAAACAATACACATTGTTTCAAAGTAGCTTTTCAGACTGGATTACTATATCATGAATGTATCATAATTGTGATGTAAAATGGTTAGTTCAAAATCTTGTACCACAAGCTAATTTTCTTTGAAAGTTACTCCATAATTTTTTACTAAAATGTAATTTTAAAACTGGCAATTAAAAAAATTCTAAAAGCAACATTTAGCTGATTTCCATGTTTCACACACAATCCTGATACCACATGGTTTTCCCGCAAAACCCTAGAAGTAATATCATTTGATTCCCTTCTGCAGCATGAGGGGAAATAAATAAACTCAATCCATTTTCTTAATTTTGAGTGCATTCATTAAGCTCAACCTTTATAAACAACTTTGTTTTTGATAATTGGTTAATGCCTGATTATACAAAACAAAATCTCACAAATCAGGAAAGTCCGATTTTTTGTAACAGGGTTGGAAGCTTCACAAATCTTCTAAGTTGAACAGAAAATAAACAGCTCATGTTATATTTAGTTTGACCTGCAGCTGACGATCAACACCTTCTGAAGGCTCAGCGCTGCTTTCACTCACCATTTGTTGAAAAATGACTTCATGTAATGAATGTCATGCCCTTTTTTTTACTGAGTTGTTTACTTTCTAATTAATTTAAATTAATGGCAGTTTAATGAAGTTCAATTTTAAATGAGTTTTATTCAGTCATTATCACTTTTGTTGCAAAATATAAGTAAACCTTATGGTTGCCAATTAATTAAAAATGTTAACTGAATGAACTGCATTAAATGCTGATAAATTAATCAGATCAATGAAAATAAATAAAAAATCAATTCATTATATGAAATATCAATGTTTGCAGAGAAAAACCTCCAAAATGAAGATTGCGTCAGTAAATCATTAAACGGACAAACACAAAAAGTTGCTTTGGAAGTCAATATTTCCATATCAATTAACATATTTCTTTGAGTTTGTCATTGCAACTGAGGTGGTCCACACAGGATGTGTTCCTGTATGCCAGCGCACTTCTTGCCTATTTAGTACTTGCCTCTCTCCTGGCTGCTTTGTATAGGAAACTGTCTCTCAGGAATAACAGAGACTCGACCGCAACTATGTTGCCTTTTAACCATGTATACAATCATCCCTCAGTGCGCACACACACACACACAGACTCTGAAATACACAGTCATTGCATCTTCCAGCCTTCACATTACTAAATATTTCATAGGTGAGGTGCCTCTCTGCAAAACTTGGTACTTCATCCATGTAAGTCTGAATAACCCGGCATCCAGGCACTGAATACTGCATTCAAACAATGTTCAAGCTCCATCCCCATGGTACAAAGAGCTTCATCTTCAAACTTATTTTCCTTTGCAAATATAAAGGCAGTTCATGAGGACGATATTGAATTCCTCATTGCAGAAACACTTTGTATTCGATCCATTCAATATTTTATTGAACCCCTGAATGACACACCGTAGTTAATCCGCGGCGCTCACGTTACAAAGACTTTTTTCCCATCCAAAATATCTCGATTATTACGTTCTTAGGAAAACATTACGGCAGACAGCCGAGGAGCACATGACGACGAGGGGTGCCAGCAAACATTCAATAGCTTTTCTGCTTGAGGGTAACAGATTTATTTTAATGTGAAACTTGATAACAAGGAACTGAGGCTGGGCTCCGTATTTGCCGGTTGGCTAATGAATTTGAAGTTTATGTTCAAAGCACTTTTGTGCAATGATGTTTGCCACAGATTTAGGATATTTTCTGAATTCAATACAAATTAAGCTCTACGGACAGCATCCGTGACATGCTTTCAGTTACCACCCAAATTCAATTAGAGAAAAAAATTAATGAATTGTGTTTACGACAATGCACTTGCAATGAAAGCCCAAGGCACTTATATTAATACTTATAATCTAACTTCTCTATAAAAATGTGTTTGATTTGAGCTATAAAGAATCTAAATAATCCTTTTAAATGAAGCGAGGCTGATGAACCTCTTGTTGTGTGTTACTGTCTGTAAAATGTTTCTTATGCTCAACAAGGCTGCATTTGTTTGCTCAAAAATACAGTAACAACAGTAATATTGTGAATTATTATTACATAAAAAAAAAACTGTTTTCTATGTGAATATATTTAAAAATGTAATTTATTCCTGCGATGCAAAGCTGCATTTTCAGCATAATTTCTCCAGTCTTCAGTGTCACACGATCCTTCAGAAATAATTTGTATATGCCGGTTTGCAGCTCAAGAAACATTTCTCTTAATTATCAATGGTAAAAACAGTAGAGCTGCTTAACATTATGTGCATGGTCAGAATTCTTTGATGAATAGAAATCAAAATAACAGCATTTATTGGGAATAGAAATCTTTTGTGACATTAGAATGCCTTAACTGTCACTTTTGATGAATTGAATGCATCGGTGATGAATAGAAGCATTAATTATTAAAAACATCTTTCTGACCTTAAACTTTTGAATGGTAGTGTACTTCTTGTCTATGTGGTCTTTATGGTATAATTGGGCATACAAGTATACATGAGTAAAAAAAATTAATGTAACTTTGAACAGACAAGGTTAGTAACGTTAGTAAGGTTAGTATCATTTAACATATAGAAATGATCAAATCTTGTGGCTATACTTTTGAAAAAGTGTATTTTAAATAGATTTTTTTTGTTGTTGTTATATTTGAATCTATTCTGGTAGACTGCCTTGCTCCAACAGACCTCCATTATAAGTGCACTACTGAAAACACAATGATTTTCTGTGGCAATCGACAGCACGACACAGGTGCTGTCCATGGAGCTCAACTTGAATTAAACCCAGAAAACTTCTTTAAAATTCATGGACTACAAAACTTTGCAATTCACCTCAAAAAGGTCAAAAACATTACAACAAATTTATGTTAAAATCAAGAACAATGATGAAACCCTTGGATTTCATCCAAAGAGCCTCTTACAATAAAGCCAAATATTACATTTACCCAAAATGGACCTAAATAAAAATAATCTTTAGAGAATACACACAACGTATAAAAGATTCACCCCCTCACATGTAAACACACAGAAATACACACAAACACACACTCATGGACCGAATCCAAAAACATGACCTTTTTAGTGCTCACGGCAGTCATTAGTCAACACACTGGAGGTGTAGAAAAAAAATGATTCATCACCTAATGGCTCTCATTGTGTTCCTCACCTCCCTCGCTCTCTCTTTTCTCCCTCTAGGGATGCAGAGATGTTGAGTAAAGGTGTAAAAGCTGAACTTGATCAGCAGAGAGTGGAACAGAGAGTGTCATGATACCAAAATGTCAGTAGTCGAGGTTTCATGATTCTTGATGCCAATTTTGATACCACATCAAAAACTAATATGCTAATGAACAAAACACTTTACTTAAAAGCAAAATAAATATATAATTATTAATGAAAAAGGCATGTAGCTTTTACATATTTATCAATTAAAGGATTACTTCACTTCCAAATTAAAAATGTCCTGATAATTTACTCACCCCCATGTCATCCAAGATGATATTCTTGTCTTTCTTTCTTCAGAAATTAAGATGTTTGAGGAAAACATTCCAGGATTTTTCTCCATATAGTGGACTTCAATGGGACCCAAATTGCAGTTTCAATGCAGCTTCAAAGGGCTCTACACGATCCCAGCCAAGGAATAAGGGCCTTATCTAGTGAAACAATGTCATTTTCTAAAAAAAATTAAAATGTATATACTTTTTAACCACAAATGCAAAAAAAAAAAGTTTCAAATCTGCATTGAAACTGCAATTAGGACCTTCAACCCATTGGTCCCCATTGGAGTCCACTATACTGAGAAAAATCCTGGAATGTTTTCCTCAGTTTCTTTCATTTCTTTTTGACTGAAGAAAGAAAGACATGAACATCTTGGATGACATGGTGGTGAGTAAATTACCAGGAAATTTATATATCAGGAAACATACTCAAATAAAAAGCAATAGAACAAAAACAGAACAAATATAGAAATGAATAAGTATTTGATGTCAAGTAATCATCTAGAAATGACAAAATAAATAAATTAAATATATACCCAAAGTATGTTCAGGTTGACTAGTTTATTAGATTTTTATATGTATTTATATTTTATTCATGATTTAATTCATATTTATTTCACAAAAAACATTTGAATGTGAGCATCTGAAAGCAGCTGTAAGACTGAGCTATAAATACATTGAGTCTGCTGCAGTTTATCATTGACTTTTTACCAAAGTACCTGCATTTCTGATATCCCTAGAAGGAACTACGAGAAAAAAAAAAAAGAGGAAGAGGGTGAGCGGAAAGGTGAGTGGGCGTAGAAAAACAGTAGTCTGTTCTTATGATTGTTGTGGTAGACAAGAGGCCGTGGGTTTAAAAGGAAGATGAAAAGCAGACATGTCACACACTGCAGTGCAGACTTTACAGTCTACATGTTCTCTCGAGCAGTCGAAAAATCACAGACGAGAGAGAACAACGGATGACTTCGGTAATTGAGACGATGATCTGCGGTGATGTACAGAAAAGCATGTCTGGAACTGAGATGAAGGGGAAAAAAACAGGCAGAAGAACA